TCTACAAAAGATACTTTATAATATATATTAGTTATAGGTTTCTCTCTCTATATCTATTAGTTAGTAGTAAACTTTTAGCTATTCTTAGTCTTCTAGATATATCTCTCTTCGGTTATCTCTTAGAAGTACTAGTATTTCTTATATTTTAGAATTACTTTCTCGAGTTAGTAGGTAGAGAGACTATTAGGTTCTAAGTTTATCTAGTATAATAAGTCTCTAATCTAGTATTTCTTATTTACTAGAGGTATTTTAGATCTTATCTAGACTACTAAACTAAATTCGGTAGATTCTTACTTACTCTAATTACCTTTTAGTAGAGTAGTCTTATTTAGTACTACTAGTTATCTAGTATTATTAAACTATTTTTTCTAGTCTTTCTATAGCTTTTCTTTATAATAGAAACTAGCTATATAACCTTCTTTTCTATACTTAAAGTAGAGTCTCTTCTCTCTTTATTATATTCTTTTCTTATTAGAAAACTTCTTCTTATTTTTCTCTAAAGTATTAAGTTCTCTTCTACTAATTATATTAAGTTCTATTAGGTCGCTATAGCGGTTCTTTACTAATTATATATAGTAAGAATAAACTCTTTTCTTTTTAATATAGTACTTATATACTTAGTTATTAATTTTAATAGCGGCTTTACTTAGCTTATAAAGGTTCTTAAGAGAATCTATATATAATAATTTATCTTTTATAAATTTCTTTAATTCTCTATAGAATAATATTCTTAAGGCTTTATTGCCTAGTCTTAACCTAGCTAAGGTTTACTAGAAGTTAATATTATAATAGATAGCTAACTCTATCTAGATAAGTTTAAGTAAAGCTAACTCTAACTTCTTCTTAATATTAATATCTCTAAAGGCTTTTTTTATACTAGCTATAAAATCTTTTAGTAATTTAAAATAATCTTTAATAAACTAGAAGTAAACTATAGATACTAAGTCTATCTAGGTCTTATTCTTCTAGTAATTACTAATATAAGGTTTAATCTAGTTATAGACTCTTTCTTTAAAGCGCGAGATTAGAAATAAAACCTTATCTATTTTATTTCTAAACTTATCTCTATAAAAACCTATATAGAGTTAAGCTTTTATAATAAACTACTCTAGGTTAGCTAGAGTTCTATTATACTTATTTAATAGAGAGATTTATAGGCTCTTCTTTACTTTAATTATAGTTAGAGTTAGTAGAGATAGTATCGAGGTTTCTATAATACTTTCGGCTAGACTAGTAATATTTAGAGCTATTATTAATAATCTAGTACTTACTAAGAATAAGTACTTAAAGTATAATAATTTAGTTCTACCTAAAGTAGACTAGAGTTATTATAAGGTTAGTATATTAAGAAGTAGACAAAAGATTATTACTTATAGATTTAGAGATCTATTTATTATAATAAGAGTAAGTTAAATAGATAATATACTATTACTATAGTAAGTTAAGTATAAAGCTTCTATCTAAGAAAATTATAATTATTATATAGAACTTTCTTTCTTTAAGTTTAATAAGTTTACTAGTTAAATCTATTAAACTCTTATCTAGTTTAATAAGTTCGTCTAGCGAATCTATCGAACTTTTATTATTACGTAATAGTACTCTAAACTAGGGCCTACCTACTAATATAAATATTACTAATATTAACTAAATTAAACTACTAGATAGTAGTTCTAGAAACTACTTAATTTCTATAACTTTATCTAATCTCGAGACTTTTAGTCTTAGAAGTATTACGACGTCGAGAGTAATACTACTTATAATACTAAGGTAATATAAACTATACTACTACTATCTCTATTACTATATAATATTACTTAAATAAAAAACTTTTATTTTACTAAATTAAGTAAATTTAGTATTAAAATATAAATAGAGTTAATTTATACTACTACTACTACTATATTAATTTTTAAAGTTATATTTATATAGATAAAAGGTATTTTATTTAAATTTTATAAGTATTAAGAATATATAATATAAAGTATAGACTACTATACTAGACTTAAATTAGATTTAGAGTTTTAGTCTATACTTAACTTTTACTACTTTAATAACTCTTAAAATACTTCTTTATACTATAATAGAGTTATTTTATAAGAGCTTAATATAGAATATTAAATAGTCTATACTACTACTATTACTATTACTATATAATAGTATTCTAAGAAGTTATACTAGATCTAAGTATTAGAGGTTAACTCTAGAGATATAGTACTAACTATATTTATACTTATATTTAATACTTATTAAGTCTTACTAAAGCTCTAACTCTAGGTCTATCTCTTTAGTAATACTTATATATACTTAAATATTAGAGTTTAAGTTAACTTCTACTTTTTTCTTTATTAAATTTATTATATTCTTTAAGAAACCTTAGTATATATACTACTTTTCTATAATACTTATACTACTAATACTATAATCTCTAAAGTAATTTTCTAAAAGATTTTTAAGTCTACTCTAGACTAGTTATTAAGAACTTTAAATATAAAAAGTACTAAACTACTAATACTATATTAGAAAAGCTATCTAATTATATATAACTATTATTTTACTAAGACTCTTTAAAAGATTTAAAATAAATAAAGTAAAAATAAATATATAAGAATTATAAAGAATTTCTTTAGTATTCTCTCTTTTAATTTAGTATATTTTACTAGCTAATATAAAGATTTCTATCTACTTATAGTAGCTCTTATATAATATATAGAACTTAATATAAACTACTTTATATATTTTAAAGCTTTAGATTATATAGAGACTTACTATAAAGTTATCTACTTCTTTACTTTACTTCTTACTCTTTTCTCTATAAAGTCTCTAGCTAATTAACTTATATTAAATAAACTACTCTAAAATATTTTATTAATAATATTATTATTAAAGTTATTAAATCTAAGCTTATCTCTTTACTTTATAATATCTTTTCTTCTATAACTATTACTTTTATATATACTAACCTTATAACTTATATTACTAGTAAATCTAAGAAAAATTATATCTAGTATAAATAACTAACTAGATAATAGAAAGTTTTTATAAAAGACTCTAAAATCTATAAAAGCTTTATTATTATTAGAATTCTTAGTAAGAAACTTATCTAGTTTACTTTATTTTAAACTATTACTTATATACTAAATAGATAGAGATAATAGTATAATTTAAAGAGACTTTTAGTTTAAATCTATAAACTATAATTCTAGCGATAATAATAAAGACTCTAATAAAAGGTTTAAGGTAGACGTTAGATCTCTATTTAAGAGTTCTTATAACTATAGAAGTCTAGTTACTAAGAAACTAGAGCTCTCAAATAAAGAGATTATAGAGAGAGAAGCTAAGCTTAATTTCTTAAAAGCTATTAAGACTAAATCTATACTACTAGTAAAGAAAGTAAATTTATACTTTTTAAATAAAGATAAGAAAAGGTCTAAAGTTACTATAAAATAGACTATATATAAATAAATAAGCTCTAAGTATAAGTATCTAGTTAGTTTTATTTTATATTATTAGAAACTATCTATAAATTCTAACTTAAAATAATTATAAATATAAATTATAAGGTATCTCTTATATAATTACTAGTTATTATAAGTAGTTAGTACTTAAGCCTTAATTTTAAGACTATAGTATAGAAATATAAGTTATAATTATTATAAGTAGTATTAGCCTTAGTATTATAATACTTCTAGAACTAAAGGTTCTAGAATTAGATAAGATTATAGAAATTAAGTAGTTTCTAGAACTACTATCTAGTAGTTTTATTTAGTTAATATTAGCTATATTTAGGTTAGCGAATAGACCTTAGTTTAGAGTACTATTATAAGATAATAAAAGTTCGATAGATTTACTAAATAAACTTATTATACTAGATAGAAGTTTAACGAGTTTAACTAGTAAACTTATTAAATTTAAGAAAAGAAAGTTCTATATAATAATTATAATTTTCTTTTATAGAAGCTTTATACTTAACTTACTATAGTAATAGTATATTATCTATTTAACTTACTCTTATTATAATAAATAGATCTCTAAATCTATAAGTAATACTTTATACTACTACTTACTATATACTAACCTTATAATACTCTAGTCTACTATTAAGTAGAGAACTAAATTATTATAATAATTTAACTTTATTATATTTAAAACTTCTCTTCTTACCTATATTCTAAGTACTTAGATATATCTAGTTAATAGTATAATCGATATTTTAGGCTACTATATATATTTTAAGAGTATAGACTATAGCGATAGCTCTAAGACTCTTTCTTAGCTCTAACTTATTTTAGTTAGCGCTATATACTATAGTAACTTTAAATTAAGTTTAATTGTTAGATTAGCTTAATAGTAGCTTTTATAAATAATCTTTTAAGGGCTAGTAGCTAGTTTATATTAGTAATATACTATCTATCTCGCCGAGTCCTCCCGCTATCTCTATACTAGGAAGACTATTCTATTAATATATTCTTCGAAACAAAAATCGAATATAAGTTACGTGTTAAATACCGCGAAAAAGTAACTTTAACGATAATATTACTTTCGCTACGCCCTATCTCCCCTCCTATCTCGAATTAAATATAGAAGAAGATAAAAAGACAATTCTTTAGACTTAGCGCGAAGTCTTACTAGTTCTCGAGTTCTAGGTCCTACCGTACTCTTTAAATCTTCTACCGTATTATCTAGACCGCGATGTCTCTTCCGAGGTTGATTATAGCTATAGGAGAAGAAATCTCCGTAGTCGGCGAGATGACTTTGATTTACTAATAAGTCTTTACATTTTTCGAACTCTACCGCTGTCATAATATCGTTTACGAAACAATAAACCACCTGCTGAAGCACTGCCATCTACCCAGGATTTATTGCTACGGCAAGATCGAAATGATTGAGAAAATCTCCCTATAATCCAGGTGGTTATGTACCACCCAGTGACCACCTCAGTGACCCACTAGTAGTGGGTCTTGTAATCGAGGGACCTGAACAGAAGTTCCATCCAAACAAAAATGGACCCATTCGATCGACCGGAACTTACAATTTCAGATTATCATGCAGACCTTGGATTGCCACAACAAGCAAGCTTTCGAGATGTCAAACTCGCCTTGTTTAGGTTGGCGAGAAAGCATCACCCTGATAAAAAGGCGCCGGGAATGTTTATTGACGCTCAAGATTTTCGCAAAGTTAGTCTTCTAAAGTCCATCTTAAGGGGGGGCCTTTGAACTTATCACAATGACTAAACAAGAGCCCAATTGACCTTGCGTCTTTGACCCAGGTTCGAGAAGCGTACAAATGTCTAAGTGATAAGGCGAAGCGTGTGGCATACGATGCATTTTATTTCGACCTCCAAGACCAGTGGACTTGTTATCGGGAATTGAAAGAAACTCAGTGCAAGGATGAAGAGCGGAAACGAGCCGACCAAGAGCAGCGTGCTGTCAGAGAAAGATCCGAACGAGAGAGGAAAGCAGCAGAACATCGAGAAGGCGAGCCTGAGCCGCCTTCACGGTCTTCTACGGGTGCTCATCCGCGATTCGGCTGGCCGAGGAAGAAGGGCAGGGCAAACTGCGTATTCTGTAGGGATTCCCACCTAAAATGGTCTTTTCGCTGCCCAGAGTGCAATGTGTCAGCTTGTGCAAGTTGTAAGTACAAATTGCGTATATTAGTCTTCGTCTTACATAGAGTTGGCTGTAATAGCCAGAAGTGTCACGAAATTCGAGAAACTTTGCTAAAGAGGGCCCCGAAACATTCCGAGAGAGCATTCAAGGGTTCAGCCCACTGACTAGATTTGCTTGCTAGAATAATAGCTTATGTCTGTTTCGACCCCCCGAACAAACCGCAGTGGGTCGTCTGTACACCTACGCAGAAGGTTCTAGAGGCTTCGGGGCTCTCCAACAGAATATTTGTATGAGATTGGCTGCTTTTCACCCTTTTGCACTGATTTCGTCTGTGTTCTAACATTTTACAGTCATTTTACACAATGTCGACCCAGACGGAATATCACTTCCTAAACTAAAGACCGCTACTAAATGAAGTATAGAGACTGTCCATGACACCCGAATAAAATTCAAACCCCTCAATTACGATGCTGGCTGGAAAACGGACGATATTGCCTTAAAATTAGACTTAACTCTACACCAAGTTCGGTGGGCTCTCTACTATCTTAAAACACCTCAAAAGAAGACGGTGGGCCGCCGAGTATTGCTTAATACTCTTCCAATAAAAAGCCTCTAATCGAATGTGTTAATCAATCTAAGACTACCCGCCGAGTACCTTTGGTGGAGGTCGGTCAAGGTCTCTTTAGTTGCGGCCCGAAAGCTATTGGTACAGCCCTAAAAAGAGAAGGTTATATAAGGGCAATTGCTCGACAAAAACCACCACTTTCGGAGCAGAAAAAGAAAGATCGGTTAGCCTGGGCTTAGGAGCACCTCTTTTGGTCGGACGAGCAATGGGATTGTGTTCTTTCGAGTAACGAGAGTTAGGTTAATCCAGGGCGACATCACCGAGATTTTGTAATTCGAAAGATTGGGCTAGAAGAGATATGCCACGAGGATTGTGTTCAAGCTCGATATTAAAAGAAAATCGACTGGATGTTTTGGGGTAGTATATCTGGTAAATACGTCGCCATTGAGGACTCCTTTAGGAGAAGGATTGGGAGAAAATAAACGAGGGTTCTTATTCTGGTATTATCGTACCTCGAATCCAAGACATAATCTAGGAACACCTAGAGCTCTCTTTTCAACAAGATAATGCTAAAGGGCACTCTTCCGCCTTTACTACCTATGTTTTTGAGGCAATTGGGATAAAGCCTATGAAATTGCTGGCTAACTCGCCCGACCTTAATCCAATTGAGACGATTTGGGACATAATGAAGAATTATATTGAGGAAAGGTATTCGGATTACCATAAGTCCTACAAGAGGCTTCGGAAGACAGTCCAGGAAGCCTGGGAATCCATCGCAAAAGTGCCTATTTAAGCTCTTATCCGTGGAATGATTGGTCGATGCATTGGATGAAACGTACAAGGTAAGTGAAACGGCTGACCTTTATCGGCATCGTACTAATGCTCAACAAAGTTCATGAATGCTGCTGCGGGGGCACTGACCCTGACAAACACGCTGCTATCGGTAAGTAGACTGCAGCGCCACCTCGGCGCTCGTATCGTTATATCGAATCAGGAGCTAACAATTTTTCCTGCGCTGCTCGACCTGTGTTCGATCACTATCGCACATCGCTTTACCTCGCCCGAATGGTTACATAGTCTCAAGGGCCACTTGGCAGCTGTGGCTACCAATGTACCGCACCCCAAAACGGGCGCTAAATGCGAGGGCGGCGATGCAAACGAGGATATAGGTTTCGATAGCATGGGCTAGACCGCGGAGAGGGTCTTTGGCGAGATCGCAAGATTGAGTGTTGGGGAAGCGCTCCTCTTCGCACCTGAAATCGTCAGCTTAAGTTTGAATAGTGGTAGTATGCTAGAAGCTCGGATGCTCAGAACCGAGTTTATAAATATCAGAGCCAGAAATAGATTAACAGCTGACGAGGGAAGGAGTGAGACAGCAACTTAGCGAGAATAGAAGCACTTGGTATACTAGCCTCGTTTGTGCTCGCAATCTGTTTTACCTTCCTATCCTCTATCGATTCGCTACTGAGTTATTCGAGACCTGAGTTCGCTACTTGCTGCTAACGCAGTAAATGGTGTAAGACTGAAGCGTCAGAGATGGTGACTCTTGCACCGGCAATTTTGTGGTGTCGTTGTGAGGCTCTGCAATTCCAGCGCAACGAACTTGACTCCGCAGGTGTGAGCCAAACTCTACCGCATTCATCAGCCACCAACAGTGGCAGAGATCTCAATATCATATTTGTTTTTCTAGAAAGAGTTCGTTTATGAATTGTTGAACCTCGGGTAATTCACCGATGGGGAAGTCAATTTAACGAGTGTCGTCAAAATAATTTAAGCTCGTACCACCGTCGGTATGTCCCGCAGTGTCCGTGCCTCAAATAGCGCTATGCCGTATAGAGGGCTTGGATCATCTCGAGCTTTTAATGCCCTAAACAGGCATGGCGTGATGTTGTACCGGGGTAGCGCACGGTCCCGGAGAGCAATCCATCCTCGAATCAGGCTTTGCGCTTGCGACGTTCATCGAGATCTAGTATAGTCTTCAGCTCCTCTCAAAGCTATCTAAGTCAGAATTCTGCATAGAAATCAACAATTGCCATTCGTACGAGTTCGGTTACTAATGCCAAGAATTGAATGGAAAGTTGTTTTGTCAATCACGTCTCCCACTAGTGACACAACATATCGCATAAAGAAATTATGATCAGGATCCCACTGCCATCTGTTCTCAGATGCAGCAGTCACCAATACTTCGTTGGTTAAACTCTGTCTTTTGAGCTTAAAATTATCATGTTTTCCGACAAATATCTCATACAACTCCAGGACAGTGTCGGATATAGGTTTAATGATGTATACCTATTGGAGAAATCATTGACAACCGCTGGTGCAGAAGGCGACAAGGAATCTGAAGATAGTCAAGAGAGGGACAGATACGATGGAAATCGTAAACTAGCCAATGTGGGCGATAAACTTCTTCAGCTCGTTGTGATGATCGATGTGTTTTCTAGAGGTAACCAACAACGACGCAGTGAGTGTGAGCTACCTAGCAACAGGACACTTCTAAAAAGACACAGGAGACGCAAGTGCTGCCATCGCTGCTAATAAGGATATCCTTGTAGCCCGAGCCAAGAAATTTGAAATTGACAAACACCTGAAACTTAACCCCCGTCTCCAAGGCCGACCAACAAAGACAACTTTGAGCACTGCAGTGAATGCTATTATTGGTGCGGCATGGCAAGATTCCCTGGAAGATATGAAGACTGCACGGGGGGTCATCGAGCATTTTGGGCAAGTTTTGATCCCTTTTATAGTATTTTCCTGTACTGATCACATAGTAGTTTGGGTGAGAGATCCGACTGCTATGTAGACCCTAAGGCACGTCACCATCAAGAAGAAGTTTTTATCAACGAGGTAACGCAGGATATTTTCCATGATCTTCGCGGTTGCTCAAACAACGATGACGCCCTTCACTCATCTAGCGATGCCCTAGAGATCCTGTCTTTCGCAGACGGTAATTAACCCCTGGCAATAACTTCGCTTGAAAATAGCCACTTCCTTTTTAATTAAGGCTTACGAGATATTTTAGAACTGCCAAGTTCTCCCCTACACGCTGCATGCCCCGAGATTTCTAGTCGGGAGACTGGAAAGGGTCCAGTCCATGGTCAGATTAGAGATTATTCCATGCATGACCGGGAAGGTGAAGTTGGTAATCGTAATATGACATTGGAGACTTCTAGAAGTGAGTTTTATTGTACTATTAAGAAACTCTATAACTATATTAATATACATTCTCAAGATACAGATTCTAGAATAGTAGCTTCATCGCTGCTTAGAAGGCCCGATAACACAAGACAAAACGGGCCAAAAGACCTCCAATCTCAGTCGAAGAAAAGGAAAGCACAACAAAAAACGCTCCGTATACACACATCACGGACGGAATTTGTAAAGGATTACATTCAATCTGAACAAGAGCGATGCCGCGCGTTGGCGCTACCAATGCCTAAAAGAGACCTTGGATCAGCCTTAAAGGCCCACGGTATGAATGTTGGAGACAATGGGCTCGCTAAACTCAACACACTCTACCTTGGAATTGCAAGCCCAGAGTCATTCGCCACTTTGCACGATCTAGTAAATGTACAGCGGCGGCCGGTCACTGGGAAACCATCCATCCCGTGCTGGAACCTTCCTCTCAAAGAACGAGTAGAGGCTATCGAGGGTCTGAATGATGACATTATGTACAAGAGTTTTTTAAAGAGGTGTCACATCTTAGAACTTTTCACATCGCTCTCAGGGAGCCACAAAACGAGCGACGGATTCATCAATGAAACTAATCAGACTCTCTCAGGGGATCCGCGCTCACAGCTCGGAAACCCGCTTGTGATGGAGGACTCGAAGGTGTCAAAGGAGATGTTAGCCCAACTATATCCCGGCCTAGACCGCAACAGCCCCGAATACTCTCGAAAGGAAAGATTTGTGAATAAATTACGTAAGACTGGTCAACGTCTGGATCTTCTCGTCCAAAAATTTGGCTTTGGGATTATCGGGCTGGTCCCGCTACCATCAGATGGCGGTGAGCTTGCTTTCAACATCACCGACACTATGTAGGTTTTCCTTATCTCTCTTTCGCTCTTGCGGCTAATGGTTTATGGGTTGCTCTCAATTCCCCACAACACATTTGTGTGGCTTGTTCGATATCTCGAAGACGAGCACGGTGAATACCTTCGTAGGGCGAGCTGTATAGTCTCCGATATGCTCAACGCTATTTGGAAGGGGAACTTAGTTCCGTCAAAGAAGTTCGGAATTGAACTCCTTGAACGGTCACAGATTGTTCGCTATCCGAAGTCTATTGAACTTCTAGATCAAATTATGCAGAGTGAAGTCGCGATGGGTTAGCGTACTAAAAAGTATCAACGGAGTCTGTGATTCGTACCATAGCAGATGACATCTTTAGTAATAGTGTTTTATTGTTGAAGTGCAGGCTTGGGAAGCACATAAAAATTAACCGAGAATATCGACGAAGAACCGCGCTCTTGGGAGGGCCTGAAGTCTGGGTCAAGCCGACGTAGATCGATGATTTCTTCTGGAGCAGGACCTTCAAGTCTATCGGTTTTGTGGATTAGAAAAGGCAAATCAGCGGTGGTTGCGGAATGAGAGAGATGTCTTTGTTGTTGTGCTTTCATAATGACGATGGGACAGAAGTGAGTAAGCATGTTATTTTTGGTATTTGGTTATTTCATTATCCAAATGACGGAAGGTGGCGTTTGAAGGAGAGCAAAGATTGGTCCCATGGTCAATGGTTGAGGATGAGGAGTAACGAGCATGCTTAAGGGACCCGTTTTGTTGACTGTAAGAGTGTTCAAGATCTCAAATGCAGCTCTGTGATCACATGAGCATCATATCTTGCCCTTTCTTATTCCTACTACTTACTATAAATGCATTGGCGCCCAAGATCCACACTTTTTAATAGCTTTGCACGGCTTTAGATTTGTTGAACTCAGTTGGGTATAGGATCAGATAAGCTTAATACTGATTTAAAACTGGCTGATAGTGGCAAGTAACTTACCAGAGTCCTCGTTTTACCTATTTTTTTTTTGTGGTGATGACGAATCCCATCCCCGCGGTCGCTCGCATCAATTCGTTATTTCTCTTGGTCTTTCCCATGTTGTTCGGCCAACCACTAGAACGTAACTAGGTCCAAAAAAGTCGCATCAATACCAAAATTCCATCCTACAAAGTGCAATATGTTCCTGTACCACGCCTTCGTTCTTCGAAGAGAGAATATTTTGAATACTGTATCGAGGGCTGGACGACGACCAGCCGTACTCAGGGAAGCCTAACTTCCTCACACCAAGCTGGGCGCCACACGACAACACGCTCAGCTTCACCGACTAAGAGGCAAAGAACTTCGGACACGAACTCAATTTCAGGATGGGCTGATAGGGTCTCCGTTCCGGAAAGTGATGCGGCCTCTTCATTCCTCAAAGAGCCATCATCTGCGACGTCTGCCTCTAGAGCTGGCAGTCCCACAAAGAGCGTCAGATGTCGGCTGATTCAACTAGATTACATCAAGCCTGCGATATTCTTCAGTCAATCAACACAAGCCTCCGATTCTGAAGACGAGACATTAGATACCAGCCTCGTGATGAGACAAACCATTAGTAGCTTGAACTCAATGGATTCTAAATTTGTGAATCTATTATAAGAGTTTCCGTAATTTTTGCGTTAGTCATGTTGTGTGACTACTCCTGAACAGCCCGACCCGGCTACTCTGAAAATTACAATCGCGTCGCCGCCGTCGCGCCTGATTGGAAAGGTATCAATTCGTAGTGTGACAGGAAGACTCGACCTACAGCACTACCATTGAGCTCTTTGCGCCTTTTAAACTCATGGTACAGTATGACCAGAGTTTCCGATTCAGGCTTATGAGGCCAAGAAGTGGTGTGTCATGTGACGTCGCTACATAGCTGGATACCCCAATCGAGCGATCAAGGATCCCTAGGCAGGTACATAGTCTCCTTTCCCGTATTAAAGATTATACGGTGGGTAATTTGGAACTGGCTGGACAAGTAGAACTTATTGGTTTGGAGGTGACTTACGCACTGATTAGGTGGCAATTATGAAAATTTGGTGTAAGTCCTATAAAAGCATAACTTACGGACCAGTCAGCTGTTGAGCATGCAAAATCCCACCGTATAACCTTTAATACAGGGGAGAGTCGTACGAAGTAGTACTTTCGTACCTTCCGTACGCTAGATCGGGGGCTTCCAGCGAATGGTTTGCACCCCAGGTTCGTTTGATCCAACATAAAAGCAATTCACCTGCAACATCTTCGTCAACTTCCAGTAAAAATAAAGACCCATCCTCCACACCTCCATAAATGGATTGTGTTTGGCTAATTACTTGTCACGAAGTATTTCACTCGAGAGGGGTTAACCATTACTGTTGTACGACCTGAGCGCGAGCGACTTCCCTCCGTCCTTGATCAATACGGCGAAGCCAGACTGCTGTTTAAAAGCTTGCGCATGGGAGGAGCCTTACAATTCTTCCGTTCTGCTTCTCGACATATTTCGAGCTCCGCTGGCGACTATGGCCTTGCTCGAGTCGGTCTTCAACCATTTGGTCCTGCCGCCCAAGCTGCCTGGACATCGGGATATAGACATCGAGGCCATTGAACAGAGCATCCTATCTCGCCTCATACGTACCTGCGATACGATGGGAAAGCTCACAGGCCAACAATTTCAGGAAACATGGGCTTCTGTTCGCTATTCCCTTCGCATTTGCCTTAATACCAATCTAGGCCGTCTTGAGAAAGCATCGATGCTACAAGAATTCTACAATCTCCAACGAAATGGTCTTATTATCTTATATGTGGTGGAACAGAATGCAGCACTCCTCGTTCGACGTCAAAGGCAGTAAGTATGACTACTCGAGAAAGGATTGTCTAAATTCTTACTAAGGCATGTAACGTAGTGATGGTGTAGATACCGTCATCTTCGAAGCCTTCGAAGCATCACCTTCTTCGGAAGACGTCCTCGCCGCCGAGAATGCACTCCAGTGGGACTTCCCCGGCCGCGCTGTTGAAATACCTTTCGACGAATTCCTCAAGAAGAGTTTCCAGGAGAGTCTTGCTACCTTTCTTGAGCAGGCGAGCATGGAGTCTCTGAAGCGTTTCGAGGCGCGTTCTGCTAAGGCGAAAGTCTTCGTCATTGAGGCCCGGGATACCACCGACCCAGCTCTGATTACGCAGATGCTGATGCCCTTGCTTGAGGCTGTCGGATCCGCTGTCGAAGTGCCCAGATTACGAAAGCGAGTACGGGACGATGTCAATATAGAAAATGCAGAGTTTCCGTGGAGAAGGCTGCCGTTATGGCTCGTTCTCCGTGTCGCCATTCAGCGTCAGCTCTGCATCGTCCTGGGAAACGAGCCTGGACGGGCCTGCTACAAGTTCCTCATTTGCACTGTTCTTGCCCAGTTTCTTGAGGATTGTGCTGGTCGGCTTGCCCCAGAGCTGACAGTGATGCTCAGAGCCAAGTTGTGCCGCCGCCTTGCGAAGTTGGAAATGGACAAGGCTCGGGTTTTCTCCGCCTCTGCCGTTTACAACCAGTTCTTCGACCTGGTCGGTCCAATGTTAAAGGGAATCATCGAGAAGGCTACAGACCAGGTTGAATCAGCCTGGGCACACTTTAAGACAACCATCGCTCGACCTATCTCGGTACTCCCACCTCACGCCGATGAGCAGGCTCTTCACCTTTCCCTTCCAAACAGCGGAAAATATCTCTATAATCTGCTCGCCCTACCTCCCTCACAGCGCAGAGATCCTGCATCGCTGCATATTCCTCCCCCGGGTGATGGCACCATGGAAAAAGTCACAAAGTTCACCGACCGCTACTTCTCCTTGGCCAAATTGGATAAAGACATCGAGAAGGAACGCGCGTTATCACCTGAGCCTGTGGCAGACTGCGAAGCTCGTTGTATACAGTTGGCAAAGTCGATTATCGATGTGTTCACCATGGTTGGAGATGCTTATGACTCTAATCCAGAACAAATAAGCATCTTCATCTTAAATCTATTTGACCTCTGGGTTCAAATGGATAAGTGTGCTATACGAGCCTGTACCCTGCTCCGCGACTACGCCCCAATATTCAACCCTGAGCTGCTGGATGTTCTGCACCTCTCTACATTATCAAGCATGCAGCGACTCCAAGGTATCCAGAGCCATCTCCGGAGCAGATATAGCGATTGTCGGTTTGCTAACAAGACGATTTTCAGCGAACCTGATAAGAACTGCTTCGCTGCGCGATATGTAGAACAGTCTGCTTCGCTGCGTAAACTGCAGCAACAGATCGAGGAAGCCTCAAGCAAGTCGCGCGGAAAGAAGCAATCCGAATGGGATAACCTTTGTAAGGAATACGACAATCTCAGTGAGAAAATTACTAGTACCACTTGTATTTGCACTACGAATTATGATGGGTCTCGCAACATTCATGGATGCAAAAAGTGCTGGCACTGGCGCTGCCGGAAACGCATGACAATCGCTATCCACGAAGACTTCCTCCCGGAAGATAGTGCTCAAAAAGCGGCAGTAGTACTAGAGCTCGGAATTCCCAGCTTCCTAGCGGCATATCGAAATGCAACATTTAGAATAGTCAACGATCTGGGGCACCCAAGCAAGACCAGTACTTCTCTGCCACCAGTCATGTTGCTGAAAGACTACCATCAGCTTCAGTGCTATATGAAACCGACCGTGGATGGTGTCTCAATTGCGTCAGCGAAGAAATCCTTTCTCCAGACACATTTTAAGGCGTTTAAAATGAAGGTCGGCCTCTCTGATATCCTCTTGCCGCTGGGGCTGAACTTTGCATACTATGATATCAAGTCTGGAGTATGGCTGAGAAATCTTGACAAGCAGTTGACATTTCAACACCTCTGTGGAGTCTATGTTCCGCGCTCTCTACAAGGCTCGGTCATTGGATCACCGGCACATCCCGCGCCTAACACAGAAGGGCCGTCGTCCTACGAGATCGTTGCTAGTCAAAGCAGCTGTCCGTCAGATATTTCCGTTCACGAGTTCATGAGCTACCAAAGATTGCTGTCCGGAAAGACTC